GAACTGTGACTTCATTATCTAGTTGCGGTAGCAAGTCTAGTACAAAGTGCCAAGTTGGTAAACTTGGCACTTTGTACTAGACTTTTCGCAAAAAATAGTACCGCTTAGGTGATTGATTAAACATAATATGCATGTTGTCCACAATAATTCAATAGCTCTCATTAATTATATTTCATAAGCAAACATTTTCATGTAATAAATAAACTAGAAACATGATACAAAATATCAAAATTGTGCTGCAAAAAAGATTGCAATTACAAAAGTTCAACAGTACATTTAATTTATCTTCCATATATTTATACCTATTTATATCAAATTCAATTGCTGTTCGTAAGTCTCGCTAAAACTCGAGAACGGCTGAACAGATTTATCTTATCTTAGTCTTGACATGTTCGTGGAGGTCTAGGGAAGGTTGAAAAGGTGAGAAAAACAATTATATAAAGAAATTAATTGTGTGATACAAGCCTGACAACAAATACTATAGTCTACCTACACTACAGCTCTATACCGAAGCGAAGCAAGGGTGGCAACTAGTATTCAATTATTTTCTTATTTTCTTGTCAGCCGCTTCCGATTACATGGTTCATAGAACCCAAAATAAATAGGTCATATGTCGTTCTTGGTCACAGATTACGAACTAGTCATTATCCATCTAGGAAGTTTGCACATTTAATGAAGAAAGCTGATCCTCCCAATTGTGAAATATGTAACAAATTGGACGATGTCCTACACATTTTAATGGAATGTGTGAAGAACAGAAGAGGGAGAGAGCTATTAATACAAAAATATCGACTTAACTTTGGGAATATAGGTTCCTTTGTGGAAACATTAGCACTACCAAACTCAGACGCAGCAAAGTCGATGTTTGATATGGTTTTTGCTTGTAAGAATAGCTTGCCCTCTTCAATGTTTTAAATTAAATTAGTCATGTATAAGTTTTGGTTAGGGTACGATAAGGCTGGCATATTCGTCAAATGAAAGCCTCCAAAGATTGAAATCGTTAGGATATGCCCTGGCACCGAAAAACTGTGGCCATATTATATAATGACGGCCGTTTTGACACATTTTAATAGTGAAGAGAAATGTGAATTTATTATCGAAAAAAATACAAATGTAATCAAATGTGAATCTATTCTAGACATTATATTATTGGTATATTAACTAATATTGCAAGTAGCAGCTGATTAAAAATATTGAATTAAACGCAAATATTAATGTTTACTTACCCTCAGCAATACTGTGTTGATTTAATTGTTTTACTGACAGATTATTTATTGGCCATAGTTTAGAATTGTCTCAATTGATAAAATATACTAATATTTAATTTATAATGTTGAGGTTAATAGATAGATTAAATAGCTTAGGTAACTAATCACGGTGTTTACTAGTCAAACATATCCAAAGGAGTAAAGAGATACTCAACTAGTCAAATATATGTAATACCTATATAATGTACTTACTTATTATTTATCGAATTACAATGCTAATAATACAACTCTTTGCAAGGTTTCTTACTTCTAAAAGAAGTTTTTTGGAATCAATGTATTGTATATTTTAGAAAAGCTGTTGGAACATAAGTAGGTACTTTCATATCCTTGTGCCAGATTTTAAAATAGAGAAATTGAATGCAGTCATTGTAATTTTGTGCTCTATTTTTTGCTTAGAGAATACTTAAATACTTAGTAAGATTCTACTGTAATTACATCATTTACTCAAAAATAAAATGATTAATTAGGTACCTATAAATAATATTTTACGACACTTGATCACAGAACTCTATAAATGTTCTTTTTTGGTATATAAAAGTAGTTTGATTGTATAATGAAATTAACCTAATTACAATGATAAACTAATCAAACATTTCTAAACTTGAAGACCTCTTCTGTTTGTGTAAATTATATCATTTGTATACTCCCTCAATTATTAAATTAGATTCCGAAATTGCATCCAACACATGAAGTACCTAAAAGCAATTCATCAAAATGATTTAAATAATTCTATTTATGTTATTGTTTATAATTAAGTATATCTGTAAACCCCTGATTATGGAGCTTTGACAGACAATGAATATATAACTTGTATCTTATTTTTTTATATTTCATAGAATTAATCAGCAATTCTGTTTTCAGTTCTCTAAACATCTGCAAGTTAATTAATCCCGAGACTTGAGCAGCGAAGCTTAATTAATAATAAAACGAACTTACCTGTACGTGGAATTCTATTATAATTATATGAGCTGCTCAATTCGAAGCAATTAATGGCTACCATCCACCCTTTTTCAATTTCCCTACCCCATGATAGCTGACTGAAATCAGTTCTGCAATTGTTAACTAATTTAACTAGATAATTGTGTCGATTCTGGTGTGATTCTCTAAACATAAAAATAAATTTAACATCAGTCTCTCCTATTCATTCTGTATAGAGAATGACAAGGATATACTGCTGTCAAATTTAAGTTTATGTTTAGAGAATCATGCTAGATACGACACCATTGTTACAGGCATTTACAAGGTTTTTTAAACATAAGAACATTCAAGTTGGCGCGAACTGAGTGGAGACAGGAGCTGTCAAAAAAAACTTTTTAAATTCTCACTTTGGACAATCGTGACTGGCCGTAGTTGCTAAGGCAGTCTACTACAAGTTAATTAATCGCTTTGAATTGAGCAGCTCACATAATTATAATAGAACTTCTCGTACAGGTAAGTTTAAGTTTTTTTTCGTATTCAATACTCATAAATAATGTTCCAAAAATTCATAATAGCGCTGGTAAAATAACATTGGCCGAGCTCAGAATCGATTCTTCGATCGCTTGGTATCGACTACAAGGTTGATTTCGTTCGGCTATCCGTCTCTTGCAGCGTTTTTAAAAATTACGGATACCTACCTTGTGTCAAATACTCTACGGCCCGTATTTTAGAAAGATTCTCAGTGATTGATCTAGTCTTGAGCATAGTTAGAAAGGGATGTCGCTATATATAGCACATAGCGATATCCCTTCTAACTGTACTCAAGTTACACATTCTGTAATACGGGCCTACTTCCGTTTCGTCGAATCTCAAGTCACAACGACACTAAAGAAGTTTTCACTTCAAAAATGTTCTATAAACGCAAGATATCTCGCACCATATATCGAAACAGGTGATTTGTATTGTTTGTGTAAGCCCTTTAACACTTACTTTATTATATCTACTAACCGCTGTGTCTGTGATTAACAACTAATAGCCGCACATTATCACGACGCATGTCTTTAAGTACCTACCTTGTTTCTTATATGACTCTCTGATGATCTCTTTCGGTATATTTTTTGTGTCGATACTACATTTTGTACGGTAACCAACAGTTTCATAACATATTCAAATCAAAGTTTTGTTGTTTATAATTAAATTATTTCTTTAGTAGATTTTCGTGAAATTCAAAGTCTACAGGATGCGCGGACTATTCTATCTATTCTGTAACATGATTGTGATAAGAAGATGTTCATAAAAGTTCGTCTAATATCCGTATATCACTAATAGAATAAGGAATTATGTTCCGGGAATAAAAACATTCTTGTCGCGCCAAGTCCTTTATTTAACGTCCATACCACGCCCAAATTGAATGGAACAAATCTGTGCCGTTTTTTGTGTTTAATCAAGCATGCTAAACAAACAGACGTTGTTGTTTTTACATTATTAAATTCTTTTGTACTTACGCATCGATTCATCTTTATTCTATTTAAAAATAATCTAAAACGTCAATGGATCAAGGACTATAACTGAATTACTTATTATAGAACAGGGAGTAAAATTGATGTAGGTGCTGGGTTGACAACTTATCATTTCTGTAGCCCAATGACAATCTTACTTGGTATAAGCTATGCCAAACAAGCTAGCTTTAGATTTGGCGTAGATAGGACATCTTGTAATACTACCTTATGTACGATAATTTGCTTTTCCAAAAGGCTAAGCGCAACAGCACGGCGTGTGTGTATGTAAATTCTTTTACTATTTTAGTTAACCACTTCTTCAAGTAATGCAAATCGATTCCAATTTAACTACTAGATGCCGGTATGGATGTAAAACGTTGCATTACAAAATTGCCTAGCTATCTTGTAAAGCGGTAAATTGACCAGCGAACCCGAGCCGTGTTCTAGTCACATCAATACTCCACTGATACGTACTATGTTTAATAAACGATAAACCTAAATCTTATAAACAGTAACGTACACAGTAACAGTAACTGGAATGCTATACGTAATTTATAGCGATTGAAATTAAATTTACGCATAGGACACACTGTGAAGACGTTGATTTATTGTATATTTATTGAGTAACGCAGGCATGTTAATATTAAGCCACCTTCAAAATATATACACATACCTTAAAATTAAGTTTTGAAAAACATTTCATGCAGTTGCTTTATTTAAAGTCTATCGGACCTAATTTAAAAGCAATTTATGTTAACACCGCGCGCAATAACAATAAATCGTTGATTTTAAATCAAACACAAGGCGAATGGTGAGAGATCAAATTAGTTACGTCTGGTTCATCGAGGTATGGAGTTAAACATAGGAGTTTCTACATTACCATGTTTTAATAATAATTTGAAAATATTTTTTCCGATAGCTAGAGTCTATCTGTGAGAAATTATATATGAGACAAAATAATAAACTTACAACCATATCTAAAATCGGTACGTTATATGTAGATACGTTTCATTTAGCATAAAGTACTAAAAATGCGTATTGTAAAATTCAGGATTCCACAACTTTGTATTATTACGCTAGCAACGAGATCCGTGAATAAGACATTAAGCATGCTCAGCATAAATAAATGAAGTCCACTTGTATAGGAGGTTCACAGAAGACCGCATTCAAATAATGATTGAGCTGGTACTTGGGACACTTAGGAATATCACTCAGTCATTGCTGCTGAACTTGAGGTAGTAAATCTTAAGGCAATGGCCACTTACTATCTTGGAGACTATGTATTTGTTTGTCAATATATAAATATGATACTTACCAGTGCGGTAACCAGCATTGGAGAGGTATGTGGCGAATGTGTTAGTCTCATGTTTGGCTTGCCACTGTGGAGACGAGCAGTTGTCGTTGTTTGTGTACACGTTGTGATTGTGGACGTAAACTCCAGTTAGAAGGGAACTCCTGTAAAATTACAAGGCAATGTTACACATACTTTGATGTTTCACGTGCCAGACTGATGAGAACTAAAGAAAAATACAAACTATATAGTTAGTAAAAAATCATTAACAGAAAGTAATTATCATTGTGAACTTTTGTTACAAATAATAAATTACACGTAGGTAGGCCTGTAGCAGCAGCTTAGGAAAAAAATATTGAGAACATTTATCATTGAAATCTTTTAATAATACTATAGAAATTTATTCAACTGCTTCTTTGAGTTAAGAAATCCTAAGACATTTGCGCTTACCTTGATGGACAACACATGGGCGTAGTAGTATACGCGTGACGGAATTCAGCTCCTGCGCTTCTTATAGCTTTCATTGTTCTCGGCATAAAGTTAAGACTTCCCAGTTCCACATCTTGATCGTCCGTCAGAATTAGAATTATATTGGGCTTTCTCTCCCTCGGCTGCGGGTAAGGAATATAGCCGCCACTCTGCCATTTGTTTGCCATTCGCAATCTGGACCGCGTCGTGTTTTCCCTAACAGGCAGAGGGTGACTCCTATCTTGCATCTTACTATGATTATTTGATCCGCGTGCTGGGGTTTTGTCGATGTAACTCCTATTCCATTGCTTCTCAGATTTTCGGGGTTTGTCTTCTCTTTTCGAACTGAAAGGATCAGCTGATTTATTTTGTTCTTCAGTAGAGTGGCTCGCAGATAACTTTCTTCGGTCACGCCTTGTTTCGTGTTCCCAATATCTTTGTCTGTCACCTCGATATTTAGAACTGTTTCTGTGTCTGAAGTATCTCCTATCGGGAATATCAGTTAAAGTGCCATTAAAGGTGGTGCGATTTCTATTGTTCTCTCTGTTTCTTAACATTCTCGCTCTAGACGCACTCTCCTCCTCTGTTGAGTCTATTTTAGCGGACACTAACAGAAAATTCCAAGTCAAAATCAGTGATATGAACTTAAAATTCATTTTGCCTTAACTATTCTGATCTATGTATCACAAAAAAGTAACTTCTTTGAAGTCGATTTCAACAATTTGATTGTAGGGTTAAATATTAAAAATTATGATTTCAAGTCGTAAATGATGGGAACGACTTACACCGGCTCCGTATGCACCGCAGCATTTTGTTTCACAATCTGTAACAATCGAAAATTATAATATTAAATTTCATAACCCAATACAGTTCACTTGAGAAATGGGCACGAACAGCAGCATATAATTTACTAGTGCCGCCTATTTCGTGTTAAAATGGCATTCCATGTAAAGAATATTGAAAATATATTTCCATTTGCTGGTCTTGTAATCGACATGGAGGGCATTTAATAGGAACCGAAGGCATCAATCGTGGACTGCTTTTAGCAGAATTGGTCGGGTCAGGCTTCTGTAAATAAACCGAACAGTTCCGCGCGCCCGTCCAAATCGGGTTGATGTATTGACATAGTTCATTAATTTAACTGCTAGTTTCCGCCTAATTTGATTCCAAAATGACATACATTATGTCATTACTAAATTTATTGATTGTGATAATATAGTGCTAATTGAAACGTGGTGATGTCACGAAATTCGGAATCTAGGCCCAAGTGTCATTAATATTTTAAGAATCAAAATCGTATGCTGGCATCTTAATCTTGATCAAACATAAACTTAAATATTAAAAAGTTTTTCTAATAATAATAAATCGTTAGACTATTGATTATTTCTACTTAAAATTTTCTATTACAATATAACATCTCACGTACCTTCGCAGGTAAGTAGATACAACTTTATTTCCATTATATCACAGTGCCTCATTTTGTTACAGACAACTCCCCAATATTGTTCGCACGTGTCGTGTCCTATAGAAGCAAAGCACGTGCGGTTCTAGATGGTGATTTATGGGGATCTAGCAGTTTGCGGCAGTCAAATAGATAGGGGCCCGGATTGGATCGATGGTCTCATTCGCTACTGGCAATGGGACGCATAGTTTACTCGCCTATGCGAACTGCTGTATTCGCAATTTCACACCCTCCCTTGTCCTAACGTGACATTTATCATATTTTTTAGAATAATTTCAAGGAAAATAGTTATTTATTATACAAGAGTGGAAAGTTCCTTTTTAACCGCGTGCTCGATTTGGATGACCGAGCAAGCGAAGGATTCTAAAGTTGAATCACGAGCGCAGCGAGTGATTCTAAATTAGAATCCTGAGCGTCAGCGAGGGAAACAAACGAGCACAAGGTGAAAAATCTTTCCACTCGAGTGCAATACGTAACTTTTCATCCCACCTCAGCGAGGAAATGACAAAATGAAAAAGAAAACAATTTATAATGACAAAATATTTTTATTTCAATTAAAACACATTAAGATAATCTATAAATTGAAGAAAATAATAAGAAGTAGAAAATAATTAAGAAATATTAAATGTAACGTTGCTACAGTTACTTATGTTAAGTTTAATATTTTTGTTAGGTAATGTTATGTTGGTGTTTGTGAATTGTGCGCTGTTTTGTGGTAAACTACTCGTATCAGTAATTTTAAATAGTTGTGCCGATTCATTGGATTCTATTGGCGTAAATGTTGGCGAGAGAGGGCTATTGTTTCCAATCTTATGGGGGCTCATTTTAGATGTAGAAGGGCGAGACCAAGAATCTGACAGAGGTTCTTTCAGCGTTATGGCCTCCACGATACTATTACAAATTTTTGATTTACTTTGGATTGAATCCTCTATGTATCCCTCTACAACCGAATTAGACTTCCAGCCTCCATGGCGCTTAAGCGATAGAAGATCAGCCCCTGATTCGGCCAAAAGTGTGGCTGAGGTTCTTCTAAAACAGTGACCGGTGTATAACGGGGGTTCTAAAAGTCCGAGAAAAGTTGCTATTTCTCGTGGAATACTGCCAATTTTATTCTGACCCATAGGTTGTCGGATACACTTTCCGTTGCGATATTGTAGAAAAAATCGTTCAATTGGGGTGTTAGAAGGACGTAAAGCTTGATATTTCTGAACAATGTTTACATATTCCTTGCGAATAACGAAGTTGCGGTCTTTTTTTGTCTTGGTATTTAGTACATTAATTAATAGCAATTCATCAGAATTATGAGAATATTTTGATACGTTATTGACATTAAGTAGTGTAAGTTCATTTGTTCGACATGCTCCGGTTATACCAATAATAAGAACAACCTGTAACAAAAGAAGTATTTATAATCGTAAATAAATTAATCAAATTAAAAATATTGTAAGTACTATGTACAATTTTATCAACAACAAAAAATTACACGTATTGACTTACTTTTGCCGCTAAATATACGGAATCAGGTGCTTCATTAATAAACATTGCAATTTCAGATGCTGTGAAAACCTTCGATTTTTTTGGTTTATAACCAGATGAGGCTCTTTTTAAAAATGCCACTAATTTATGATAGGTGTCGATATGAACGTCTTTCTTCATCTTAATTGTTAATTTTAGCATTGAATACGTACTCCATAGCGTGCTTGCTTTCTTGGTCTCAGATAATTCTATAAAATATGCCAGCAAAACGTTTTCGGAGAAAGTTTTTGCTCCTTTAGCTAGTCGCCACATGTTAAATATATCGTACTGTTTCAAATACTTCTCTCGTGATTGCTGAGGGAGAAGGCTCATTTGCGCATTATTAACTGTTTCAGTTAACTCAGTTGGCGTTAGATAAACTTCATCGTCGCTAATGTCACTTATTTTAGTTGATTTTTTTGTACAGTTTTTAGGTTATGTTAATTATATTAAGCAATAAAACGTGAAAAACTAGAATGGCGCGAAGCACGCAAATAAAACAAAGAAACCAAGAAGGTTCCAAATTTAAATTTTTTCACAATTTAAAAAGTTCTAATCATAAATTTGGCACCATAGAGGTTACATTAAATAGGTTTAATGACGTTTTGAATTTACAATTATATTGAGTACTCATTATATGTGATGTTCTAAATTCAAATCTACTTTGCCGCTCAAGCGAATAAAATAGAATTTTCCAGCCAGATTTCGAAGCGCAAAATTACACTTTCCGAGGTGGTGGGATGAAAAGTAAGTTATCACTTACAGCTAAAAAAAATACATGAAACCACAATGCAAGAGAAATTTTTAAACAGTAGATGTTACTTTGGTTTATAAAAAGTGGAAATTTTAAAAAAAACTTTACTTTCTCGATTGGGAATAAAGCTTTCTACCACTGATCCACCGATGCTTGTAGGTACGGTCCGAATATTTAATAACAATTAAAAATGTAATACGACCGACATGCTTAAAATGAACGAAAACTGTGTTCATGTTATAAGAGTATGACTTTAAAAAAAAAACAGATCTACAAATAGGTAATTTACATTAATAACTAATACTTTTTCTACTGCTACTTTATGAACTGAACAGTTTGCTAGATTTATATTGTCCAACAGGTTTTCTATATTAAATAAATCATAATATAAATTAGACTTTTAATGTTGTGGAGTTACTTTCGCTCGATTTTCTCCGCAGCTAAAAAATATGTCCATAACGAGTGATAGGGGAAAAAAATTTTGGACGATTCAAAAGAGTTGTTCTATACATACAATTTGATATAGATATATTGATTTCTGATTTCTATAATTTAATAATATATATTCCGCCCGGATAGCAGGAGGTATAGTTGACGGTTCAAATTCTGTCTTGGACCGATTGGATTATTATCTAATAAAATTTTCTTCAGATTTTCTATTTGTAGAGTTAATAGATAGTTAAATTATTAATTATAATTATTTTTTTATCTACAGAAATTAAGCATAAAAATAGTTTCATATTCCTCATAAATACGCAGCAGATACTTGTAAACTAAAACGTAATTGGTGTGTTTAAGTAAATATTATTTAAATTATTATTATTGTTTAACGGCCTTAACAACGTCATGTTTCGAAAATATATTTCAATGTTAAACATTTCCTGGAACAATTGCAACGTAAAATATTATCTACTCGAATTTAACAATAACATATCCAACTTCCTTGTTTGTCCGTATGTAAACTTCGATATAGAACGTGTGCAAACTGGGTGTCTCCTCAAACGCTTAGCTCCTGTTAAGTAAACATTCCGCTTGTGGAACGTGCTTTTTCTTTTATGAGAGGAAAACACGAAGTATTATTTACATTAACAATATTTCCCCCAGCTTGGTTAGTTAACAACCCAGCTAAATTATTTCGAGAACACTGACCTTTGGTTGAGAGACAAACAATTTCAAGTTTATATATATATTAGTTTTTAAGCATTTAACTGCTATGTTTAAATCTAACGAAAAGTTTACTAGATAAAATTCCCAGGGACCAGGCAGCAGACGGGACTCGAACCCACACCCTTCGCTATCCAGGCGAATGCACTGACCATTATTCTACCGCGGTCGTCATTTCAATTTTTTTTTAAAGTTTCACCATTTTGACATCTTAAATTTTATATTTTAGACAAATGACTATGTACCCCTTCTGATGTTAAGTGATGGTGGAGAGCAGACGCGAAGATTGCTGGATGGCAGTTTTGCCTACAATACCAGCCACCACTATGACCATAAAAATATTAGGTATAGTTTTTTTTTTACTTTTAAAGGGGGAAGATTCCGTCATATCATACATGATTTTTCTGCAAGTTTAACCCATAGAGCAATACAAAAGGGAACCCATAGCGACATAATACTATGTATTCAAATCATTCTGTTATTTACAGCGGGAGGGAAGGGCACATATGCAGATATGCACACTAACGCAGTATAATGCACACGCATAAAAAACTAAACTGTAACTATGACTCTCACACATAAACAATGACATAAGTGCTTGGCCACTGAGACGGACTAGGAGCGGTTGCGGGTGGCGGCAGGCAGCGGTTGGCTTATTAAACAAATGTATGAGAATGTATGAAGTATGCCACGACACGCGCGCGGCGGGCTAGAGCGGCTGCGGTAGCGGGCCAACCGGGCGGGTGGAAACGGCTAGCGTGGGACGGATCGAGTCAAACAAAATTTTTTGGACGAATTCAAGAGCGGCAGCATTTTACTATGGACACTGAAGCATTTATCACACAAATATTGAACCGACCACCTATATGGATGTCAAAGCATCCACAGCACAAGTATAAAAATGTAATAAAAAGACTATGGGAAGAAA